CTGATTTTGGCAGATGAGATACCCTCTAAGAGAAGAGAGGGTGGGTGGGCGGGGCTAGTATTTGCTACGATAAAACTGATTTTGGCTAATAAGACACCCTCTAAGAGCGGGTGGGCGGGCAGGGCTAGTACCTACCTACAGAATTCTGATTTTGGCAAATGACATACCCTCAAAGAAAAGAGAGGGCGGGTGGACGGGGCTAGTACCTGCTAAGATAAAACTGATTTTGGCAGATGAGATACCCTCTAAGAGAAGAGAGGGTGGGTGGGCGGGGCTAGTATTTGCTACGATAAAACTGATTTTGGCTAATAAGACACCCTCTAAGAGCGGGTGGGCGGGCAGGGCTAGTACCTACCTACAGAATTCTGATTTTGGCAAATGACATACCCTCAAAGAAAAGAGAGGGCGGGTGGACGGGGCTAGTACCTGCTAAGATAAAACTGATTTTGGCAGATGAGATACCCTCTAAGAGAAGAGAGGGTGGGTGGGCGGGGCTAGTATTTGCTACGATAAAACTGATTTTGGCTAATAAGACACCCTCTAAGAGCGGGTGGGCGGGCAGGGCTAGTACCTACCTACAGAATTCTGATTTTGGCAAATGACATACCCTCAAAGAAAAGAGAGGGCGGGTGGACGGGGCTAGTACCTGCTAAGATAAAACTGATTTTGGCAGATGAGATACCCTCTAAGAGAAGAGAGGGTGGGTGGGCGGGGCTAGTATTTGCTACGATAAAACTGATTTTGGCTAATAAGACACCCTCTAAGAGCGGGTGGGCGGGCAGGGCTAGTACCTACCTACAGAATTCTGATTTTGGCAAATGACATACCCTCAAAGAAAAGAGAGGGCGGGTGGACGGGGCTAGTACCTGCTAAGATAAAACAGATTTTGGCAGATGAGATACCCTCTAAGAGAAGAGAGGGTGGGTGGGCGGGGCTAGTATTTGCTACGATAAAACTGATTTTGGCTAATAAGACACCCTCTAAGAGCGGGTGGGCGGGCAGGGCTAGTACCTACCTACAGAATTCTGATTTTGGCAAATGACATACCCTCAAAGAAAAGAGAGGGCGGGTGGACGGGGCTAGTACATATTAAGATAAGATTGATCTTGCCAAATGGCATACCCTCCAAGAAAATAAAGGGTGGGTGGGTGAGGGGGGGCAATGCTTGCCAAAATAAGACTAATCTTGCCAAATCATCTTCTATCCTTCATTTTTTTGGAGGGTATGTCATTTGGCAAGATCAATCTTATCTTAGCAGGTACTAGCCCCGCCCGCCCACCCTCTTTTTTCTTACAGGATATATGTCATTTGCTAAAATCAGTCTTTTTTTAGCAAATACTAGCCCCACCCATCCACCCTCTATTTCTTAGAGGATGTCTTCTTAGCCAAAATCACTCTTACCTTAGCAGGTACTAGCCCCGCCCACCCGCCCTCTCTTTTTTCCAGGGTATCTCATCTGCCAAAATCAGTTTTACCTTAGCAGGTACTAGCCCCGCCCACCCACCCTCTCTTTTTGTCGAGGGTATCGCATCTGCCAAATTCCGTTTTATCTTAGTAGGTACTAGCCCCGCCCACCCACCCTCTCTTTCCTTAGAAGGTATGTCATTTGCCAAAGTCGGTCTTATTGTAGCAACTACTAGCTCCGCCCACCCGCTGTCTATTGTCTTAAAGGGATCTCATTGGCCAAAATTTGTCATATCCGAAGAAAAGAGAGGGCGGGTGGGCGGGGCTAGTACCTGCTAAGACAAGATTGATTTTGGCAAATGAGACGCCCTCTAAGAAAAGAGAGGGTGGGTGGGCGGTCCTAATACCCGCTAAGATAAAACTGAATTTGGCAGATAAGATACCCTCGAAAAAAAGAGAGGGCGGGTGGGCGGGCCTAGTATCTGCTAAGATAAAACTGATTTTGGCAGATGAGATACCCTCGAAAAAAAGAGAGGGCGGGTGGGTGGGGCTAGTACCTGGTAAGATAAGAGTGATTTTGGCAAATGACATACCCTCTAAGAAAAGAAAGGGTGGGTGGGCGGGGCTCGTATGTGCTAAGAAAGCCTGATTTTGGCAAATGAGATCCCTCTAAGGATATAGAGTACCTACCTGATAAAATAAGACGAATTCTTGGTTCTAGGTATTGCTGTTTGGAAAAAATTTGAAAGTGCTTTGAAGCCACTAGTAAGTCTTTTTTTATAATAATTTAATTAAATTTCTTAGAGGATACGTCATTTGCTAAAAGCAGTTTTTTCTTTGCAGATTCTAGCCCCGTTCTTTTCTCTTAGAGAGTATGTCATTTCCCAAAATCACTGTTATCTTAGCAGGTACTAGTCCCACTCGCCCACCCTCTCTTTTTTTAGAGAGTATCTCATTTGCCAAAATCAGTCTTGTCTGAGCAGGTACTAGCCCCGCCCACCCGCCCTCTCTTTTTTCCAGGGTATCTCATCTGTCAAAATCAGTTTTATCTTAGCAAGTACTAGCCCCGCCCACCCGCCCTCTCTTTTTGTCGAGTGCATCTCATCTGCCAAATTCCGTTTTATCTTAGCAGGTACTAGCCCCGCCCGCCCACCCTCTCTTTCCTTAGAAGGTACGTCACTTTCCAAAATCGGTCTTATTCTAGCAACTACTAGCCCCGCCCATCCGCTGTCTATTGTCTTAAAGGGATCTCATTGGCCAAAATTTGTCATATTCGAAGAAAAGAAAGGGCGGGTGGGCGGGGATAGTACCTGCTAAGACAAGATTGATTTTGGCAAATGAGACGCCCTCTAAGAAAAGAGAGGGTGGGTGGGCGGTCCTAATACCCGCTAAAATAAAACTGAATTTGGCAGATGTGATACCCTCGAAAAAAAGAGAGGGCGGGTGGGCGGGGCTAGTACCTGGTAAGATAAGAGTGATTTTGGCAAATGAGACATCCTCTAAGAAACAGAGGGTGCAAATGACGTATCCTGTAAGAAATTTAATTAAATTATTATAAAAAAGACACTACAGGCTCCAAAGCACTTTCAAATTCTTTCCAAACGGGAATACCTAGAACCTCAAAATTGTTTTAAATTTGTTAAAAAAACGGGGTCCCAAAATTAATTCAAAAACAGGTTAGGTCAGAATTTTTCAAAAATAGAACACCAAAGTCTCCCAAAATTGTTTTAAATAATCCATGGGCTCCAAAGAATAATACACCAATAGTCTCCCGAATAAAAAAAAAGTTAACTGCGAACATTTTAAACATAGTAAATTTTGACAATTTTTGATACGTCAAATATTTTTAACTACTTGCTCAATTTTTGGCAAAATGTGAGAAGGAATTTTTTTGCTATTTTTCCCAGACGTTATAGGTACAGTGGTGGTTCAAAGTTGCCCGTCGTCCCCTATTTGTCATTCCGCGGTAATTATGAAACTCGTCCTGGCCACCGAGTGGAGAAAAAGTTGCCAGCTCCATCTCCCGCACCTAAATCATGTTGAAAATGACAGATATTAGAAGCAGCGACATTCTTAAAGCCTCCAGTACACCGATAATTTTTCTTTTTTGAATAAAAGCGACATTTCACTTCTCGGAACTGAAATTTATCGCTTAAAGATGACTAGGACAATGGTTCCACCCTCCGAGGCCTGTCGGCCAGTCGCCGCGGTATTTTTCACATGAAGATGTCGCCCTATTGATCGAAACGTCACTCACTAAGCTCAGCCCGCATCCGGCGCTTTCTTTCGATAATTCACTATTACAATCTTACGCCGTGTACGAACTTCTCCGAGTTAAGTGAAACTTCGCTGTAAACTGAAAACTGAAAAGTAACTTTTTAATGGCTGGTTTTCAGGTTCTCGCCGGTATAAAAATTCCGTGGCCATCCGCTGTTATAAAACGCGGAGTGAGCGAAGAATCGCCAATTTTACCTCAATAAAGCGGTTTTGGCGACGCAGTTCGGAAATTTACAAACTGAAAATAAACTTTTCGATGGAGCGACAATAAAAGTGGAGATACTATCGTTTGTTTAAGAACTCCACCTGCTTCTATCACCGAAATGGCCGATAATTTCACTCACGGGCCCGAGATGGCCGTTTTAATTGGCGATATCCGTCTTGGAAGGTTTTTAAGCGGCCTTGGTATGCTCGAGGTAACGGGATTAGGGAAGCGGATGAACATATTTCTCGTCACAATTAACTGTTTGTCAGCGGAATCGACACGGTCCAGGTGGCACAACAAAAAGAACGCACCCAGAATCCTATACTACTCTGATCTAACTCGTGTGGAGCCACGTGTCGCGCGCGTCGTTCGCTCCGGTCGACTCATTTTTTTTCCGCATAATATAACTTTGACGCTTTTTGTGCTAGAAAAGCGAGCAGACAGCTCCGACTCGCGCAAAATGTTGTCTTCTCGCATTTACCGCGAAATTGGAAGTCAGACAAGCGCGAATTTGTTTGTAGTGGGACTGGAAAGTGGCAGTGTTGACGTAAATATGGTAAAAGGTGGAGTCTTCGCCGACTCAATTATAAACGATGACAGCCGTCTGAATACATTTTGTTTTATTAATGAAGTAGTTAGAATGGAAACCTGCGACGTTATCGTCCTTAATTGGCCAATTCAGCGAAGATTTTTAAAAGTTTCCAATGAGCTCTTTATTACGCTATAAATAGCGCGAAATGGTCTATATTTGCGTAAATATTTAGACTGAACGATTTCGCGGGGGTTAAAAGGTGTAAATCGTGCGCTTTTATTGGTCGTTTTTCACGAATTCGGCGGATAATTGGGCAATTTTTCGCACCCCAACCCTTCCTTTTTTTTTCAATAAGGGATTCCGGCTTTGTCCGGCGGGGCCGCGAATTAAAAAATACAAGTCATCGAAAATCCTAGAGAATTGAGCGTTTCGCAGCCGCCCAGACGAAGCTCCCACGGCGCGTCTGCGCTTCGAAATCGAGGAAATGCTTGGACGACCACATATCTATATAGGTAGTATCTTGGGTGAACGAAACCGGCGCTTCGTCGCGCAACCCATGCTCTTTGCCAGTCTGTTTTCAAAAGCCGTCAACAACACTTTGTTGCTGAAAATTTCCCGGAGCCCCCGATGTCGCGGAAAAGTCGGACCGCGCGAAACTGAAAAACCCATTGGTACAGTGCGTTCTCGCCATGACCCGCGACACGGCCCAAGCAGCGACCGATGTGTTTACCAGAACCGAAGGTGCGATGGGGGGAAAATTTCGGCGAGGATGAAGCGCGACTTTTCCGACCAGAAAATACCCTAGGTGAGTTTTCCGCAAATCCCTTTTACCGTCGATCGCTTTCTTAAAACATCACTGCGCTAAAAATATTGCGACGACATGTCAAAACTTTATTGCTCGTGGAACGATGTTCGGCTGATGAGATACAAGCTTTACATAAGTACCTGTCAAACAAATTTAAATCTTATATTTCTTCATCGGGACGGATTTATGCGGCGTTTGTGAGGAATGTGTCATTTTCATTTCCGCGGTGAAATATCGTGAAACGGGGATAAAGTCGAGGCGTACATAAAACTTAGCTCCATTCACAAAAGGATGATCAGGTAGAGCTTGATTTATCGCGGGAACTTTCGCCACGTCCAAAACTTAATTCGGATTTTGACGATATTTCTGTCAACGTGGATTCGGGGAACGGAGCGACAAATATTTTTCGCGAAAACTGCTTGATTAATTTTCGGGTTAAAAAGCGGCCGAAATTGCCGAAAATAGAAAAAGGCGGAGACGGGTTTTTGTTTGAGTTTTCGGACGACTTCATCCAGATTTTAAGCTACGCCCGAATTTATTCAAATTAGAATTTTCAAACAATAACAAACTTACAAAAAATCAAAACAGGTTTAATTATGACGACGATTATGAAAATTAAAATAATAAATATTAATACGCTTGCTAATTGTCTTTCAAAATCTGAGTGTTCTCTGGAATTTTTGGTTATATTTTCAAGAATCAAAAAAATATTTTATAAAAAAAATAGAAAAGAGGCATTTTTCAATCTGTTCACTATTTGGCATGATGGCTTGATTTGTGGCAATTTTGTGATTATTATTTTTTATTTTACATTGTTTTATGATGAATAAGTAAATGAAAAATACAGATTTTGAAAGAAAATTCATAAAAATAACACGATTTCTTGAAATCCTGATTAATGAATAAAAATTTTGAAAAAAGATTCCAGTCAGAAAAAACCTAAATATTCAAAGAAAAACCAAAGTTTAGAAATAGGAAAACAGATTAAAAACAGAACACGGGGATCTTAAATCAAATCAAAGTCTTAAGAAATTGACAATAAATTTCAAAAAAGTGGCTTTGTGAAAAAATAAAATCCACCAGTTAAATACAATATTTCCGAAAAGTGAAGTCAGAATTTTAAAAAAATCGGAACGTTAAAATAATGTGATCGAAAAAAAATCGTCTATTTATTAATTTATTACAGATTTTGCCAATATAATTTTAAATAAAATAAATTTCATGGCTGACCAGACTACCGTTTTTTTAGATTTGAATTATTGGCAGCCATGCTAATACGCCAATTCACAATTGTCAATTTTGACATAAGTACGCCTCACGAACGTGTTGATTGGTTGAGATTGACAATCAGGTATGACATGATAAAATTTTAAATATGTTGCTAACCTGACAATAAAAATCACAAACATCAAGTCTTGAAAAACATTCTCATAACGAACAAATTTAAATCAAATCTACAATGTTCCTGAAAATAAGTACCATATGATAAGAAAACTTCATCTATTCATCCATGGAATTATTTTTTTTAAAACTGTGGTGGGAGTTATGTTGTTTATAAAAAAAAATGCCGAACATAATATTTTTACTTGCTGAGTGTAAGCTAAGAAAGTATTGTAATCGAATCCATTGGAGGACTGGCTACTTTTATGTTTTTTTGACGTTTCATGACTTCTAGAGTACGAAAAATAGGTCACCCGTTTCTGTCTGTTATTAGATAATCTCCGAAATTACTGGACCAATTGTTGTCAAATTTTATGTGTATTAGAAATATCGTGTAGATCATAAAAGGAAAAATTGAAAAAATAAACAAAAGAAAAAACCGAAACGGAGGCATCGAAAAGTTGGAAAATCGAAAAACTGAAAAATTTAAAAATCAAAAACTCGACGAGTTACATATCGTAAAATTGAAGAAATCGAAAAGAAAAATGCAAAATTAAAAAATTGCAAATCGAAAAAATGGAGAAACGAACAACTGAAAAAAATTGAAATTGAAAAAACAAAAAATTATAAAAGTAAAGAAAATAAAAACAGAAACAAAAAATTGCCGATTGGTATTTTGAAAAAATGAAAAATTTAGGATTCGAAAAATTGAAAAATTATATATATATATTAGACAAACTGGGTGTCATAAATGTCAATTTTACAATCAGTTATGCCACCATAAAACTTTAAATATGTTGCCAACCTGACAAAAAAATCACGAACGTCAGTCTTGAAAAACATTCTCATAACGAACAACGTTAAATCAAATCTACATTTTGCGAAATGGAGAGTAGATTTGAAAGAAAACGGTTCTATTCTTAGTCCCGGAAAATAAGTATCATCTATTTAGCCACGGAATTATCTTTTTTAAAAACTGGGAGTTCTGTTGTTTTAAAAAAAAAACTTAAAAGAAAACACAACGTTTTAACTTCCTGAGCGTAAACTAAGGAAGTATTGTAATCGAATTCATTGGACGACTGGGTACTTTTATGTTTTTTCGACGTTTCATGACTCCTAAAGTAAAAAAAAGTCTCCCAGTTCCGTCTCTTTGTCTCTTTGTCTATTTGTCTGTCTGTCTGCCGTCTGTCCCAATTTTATATGTGTATTAAGAATATCGTGTACATTATAAAACGATAAATTGAAAACCAAAAAATTGCTGGAAAATCCAAAAATTGAAAAATTTCAGATTGCAGAAAAGAAAAATTATATGAAAAACCGAAAAATTGAAAAATAAAGAAAAGAAAAAACGAAACGAAAAATTTCAAATTGAAAAATTTAAGAAATGAAAAATTGAAAAATTAAAAAGTGAAAACTCATGAAATTGCAAAGGCTAAAAATTGAAATTTTTCGGTTTTTCGATTTAAAAGTTGGAAAATCGAAAAACCGAAAAATTTACAATTGAAAAAACAAAAGGAAAATTAAAAATTGAAAAATTGGAAATCGAAAAAACGAATAAATAAAAAACAGAAAAATTGAAATTGAAAAAACAAAAAATTATAAAATCGGAACATTGAAAAATCGGAAAACTGTAAAAGTAAAGAGAATAAAAAAAAAACGAAACAAAAATTGCAAATGGAAAATTTGAAAAACATGACAAATTTTAAATTCAAAAAATTGAAAAATTAAAAGTTAAAAACCGAAAAAATGTGGCTATTAATGATTGAATTAAATTTTTATATTGGCAATTCTGACTACATGCCAACTTGACAAAAAAATCACAAACGTCGTCTATTTTTCCATGGAATTATTTTTTTTTAACTGTGTTGTCAATATTGTTGTTTATAAAAAAAAATGTTTAAATAGAACATAACTATTGCAATCGAATCCTTTGAGCGACTGACTACTTTTATGTTTTTCGACGTTTTATGACCCCTAGAGTACGAAAAAACAGGTCTCCCGTTTTCGTCTATCTGTCTGTCTGTCCGTCTGCCGTCTGTTCGAATTTTGAAAATTTTTGAAATGTTTCGATAATCTCCGAAACTACTGGACCGATTGTTGTCAAATTTTATATATGTATCAGGAATATCGTGTAGATGGTAAAACGATAAATTAAAAACCGAAAAATTGCTGAAATTGAAAAATGTCACATTGCAAAAAAAAAATTATATGAAAAACCGAAGCGAAACATTGCAAATTAAAAAAATGAAAAAATGAAAAATGGAAAAATTAAAAATCGAAAACTCGTAAAATTGCAAAGGCTAGAAATTAAAACCTCCAAAAGTTGGAAAACCGAAAAATTGAAAAAAAAAAACGAAAAATGAAAAAATAAAAAATTGCAAATCGAAAAAATGAAGAAAGGAAAAACTGAAGAAAACTGAAATTGAAAAAATAAAAAATTATAGAATCGGAACAATGAAAAATTGAAAAATTGTAAAAATAAAGAAAATAAAAAACCAAAACAAAAAATTTGCAAATCGAAAATTTGAAAAAATTGAAAAACACAGAATTTTAATTATTTGCGGTTTTGAAATCCCTAGTGATTTATTTTTTAAAGAACTTAAAAAAGTGTTGGGACATTTGATGTTTTTTTCAAAGAAATTAAAAATACCCTGTGATCCCTAGAGTTTTTTTTTTTTTAAGAATTCAAAACTGTCCAATAAAACTTTACGCAGATTCTTTTAGCAAATACTAAGCCAATCGCTATGAAATTTAGCGCGTGTTTTGAGGTTATCATCAGCCTGATTGATCTCTTACAAAAATTAATTATCTTATCTATCCCCACCAAAACTTTGATGACGTTATCTAAAAATGTGCTAAGTGATCCTAATTAAAATATCAACTTCACTTCAGAGTTCGGACTGAATAACTTCAGATTAATTTTTATCGTCTAAATTTATCACCGAAATGGAGTCAAGCAAGAACACAGTGAATTTCGTTAGCAATTCACCATACCCTCAAAAACGAGTGATAGTACAAATTTTGACAGCACATTTAAAAAAAAAATTCCACGAGTGACCAGACTACGTTTTTTTTTTATCATATGATCCCCCAAATTTTTGTGTTGGCAATTCTGAATTATTGGCAGTCATGCTAATATGTCAGTTCACAGTAATCACGAACGTGTTTGCTTGAGACTAACTGGGTGTCATAAATGTCAATTTGACAATCAGGTATGCCACCATAAAATTTTAAATATGTTGCCGACCTGACAAAAATCACAAATTTACTTCCTGAGCGTAGGCTAATTAAGTATTGTAATCGAATCCATTGGACGATTAGCTACTTTTATGTTTTTTCGACGTCTCATGACCCCTAGAGTACGAAAAAATAGGTCTCCCGTTTCCATCTGTCCGTTTGTCTGTCTTTCTGTCTGTTAACTGTCTGCCGACTCTCCGAATTTTATTAGATAATCTCCGAAACTACTGGACTGATTGTTGTCAAATTTTATATGTATTATGAATATCATGTAGATGATAAAACATTAAATTGAAAACTGAAAAATTTTAACTTCAAAAACGAGCACACTCAAAAGCAGTCGGTCCACTAGTTTCGATCCAACAAGTTTCCAACAATCCAAC